AGGGGCCCCCCCGGCTGGGGTCACAGCCACCAGCACCTGGCTGGGGAATGCAGTGGTGCCAGGCTCTGCAGCTGAGTCCAGCTCACACTCACCTTCGTGCAAGGTTAAGAGATGCAGGGTAAATCCCCAGACCTCTTTTGGGGTCCTCCTGGGGTATCATCTCCCTTCCTCCCTGTGCACACTGGGCAAGGCCAGCCTGCACAGACAGACTCCGTATGGATTTAAGATCACTGAGAGCTGCAGGAGGGCTGAGCCAGGGCTGCACAGCTTGATGATGGGCTGAGATTACACAGCCACAGTGCCTGCTCCTTGCCTTGGATGCCAGGTGGAAAATCAGCCCGGGTTCCCATGGAAATGATCCCGGGCTCACAGCAAACATCCCTGCCAGCCCAGGCAAGGCTGCCATGCATGGCTGGATGTCAGTGTGCAAGGGTCTTACATGGCTCCGTGGTGGGACCGGGGGCTGCGTGTCTCTGCTGCCAAGACCGTGAGCCATTGGCCAGTTCTAGGGGGGGTTCCAGGGCATCTCATGCTCAGCACCCTGAAATGTTGCTGGGAGCACCCCAGTTACACAGGGGCTGTGAGGAGGAGCACAGGGAGGGGACACAGAGGAGGGCTGCGCAGCAGCGTGCGGAGAGGGAGGACTCACTCCACATTCTTGAGGGAGACCTTCTGGCTGGGGCGGGTGGCTGAGACGGTGATGTAGATGTGGAGGGCAGCCAGCCCTAGCAGCATCTCTGGCTTGGGGTCTGTGCTGAAGCGCTCTCTGATCACATCGTTGCGGCTCTGCAGGAGGGAGGAGAGGTGTCCTCAGACAGCCATGGGGACAGGGCACCCGCCACCCGGGGGATGGCTCCACAGGGCTCAGCCTGGGCAGACACATGGGCCACCAGCACCATCAGCTCCCAGTTCCTAGGGGTAAGTCCCCTACCTGGATGTACAGGTACTCGAATGCTGCAGGATCCCGGCGCAGCAGCTCCACCGGGTCCTTGGGGAAGAAGCTCACGCGGAAGAGGCATCTCATGCCATGGTAGTGTGTCCTCTGCACAACCTGTGGCAGGAGCAGAGGGGAGCAGTGAGCCCAGGAGCTGCATATATTTGCCTGCAGGGCAGGAGACTCCTTCTCCTCTCCTCTGTGCAGGGGGATCTGATTTCTCTCCTCCATGCACCACCTCATCCTTTCATCCCAGGAATAGCCCAGCCTTCCTTGGCGTGACACCTTTGCCTGGTTCTGCAGGGCTTTATGCCACCAAGGCTAATGCTTCCTCCACGATTCCCATTTGATTCCTGGTCCATGCCATGCCAGCTTCCTGGCTCTCCCGGGCAGGCCAAGGATGTTCATGAATGCTGTCTGCAGCTGCCCAGGCTGGAGCACAGAGCATCTCCACAGTGCTGTCAGGGTGGGATGGGTAAAACCCTGATCATCTCCCTCTTTGGCCACCCTTTGCACCCCTGAGCCTGCAGGACCATGGCAAAGGCAAGGAGAGGCTATGTCACCCCATGGCACAACCCTGGCCAAGCCCCACGCTGGTGGGAGAAGTCTCCCCTGCGCCCCAGCCATGGCCATCCCAATGCCCTTCCGCACCCAGCAGCTTACGTGGGCCAGCGGCTGCTTGTCCTGGAGCAGCAGGAACCGGTGGCTCTGCTCCGGGCTGGAATACTCCAGGACCAGGGCAAAGTGCTCGATGTGCCTCAGGGACAGGCGGTCCTGCAACGTCACCATCACGTCCTGCAAATGCCACAAACAGGCTTGGGTGTGAGGCACTGGCTCTCTTGCAGGGTAGGAGCTGGCACCCCACTCAGACCCCGCTCCTCCCTGGCACCTGGGGCTGCGCCGGTGCAGGATGAGGCCCTGCAGTGCTGAGAGGGGCCACAGGATGGTACCCAGCCACTGCTGGGCAAAGGGATCTTGCAGCAGGGGGTGACCAGCAGCCAGATCCCCAGCATCTCCGGTAACACTGCAGTGTTTCAGAGAGCGGCTGCAGGGAGCTGGCCCCTGGCAGGGGGACTCGCAGGAGCATCGATCCTGGCTGGAGGGCAGGCTCACAGCAAGGAGAAATGTTAGGAGTGGGAGAAAGACAGCAAAAACCCATCCCTGCCAGCTGCAAAGCGTGGAGAGGCGGTGGGGCTATCTATCATGCGGTGGCAGTTTGCAGCCAGCCAAGCGCTTCTGCGGTGTTTGTGCAAGGAAGCAGGAGACAAGAAAAAATGGATTGGGCAGGCGGGAGAAGCATCACGGTGCTGTGGGGGGAGCAGAGGGACCCACCTTCACAGTGGTTCGGCCATCAAATGTGAAGGATTTGATCTGTCCATTCTCCAGGAAAACCTTCAGCACATTGGGAATGAGGAGGAGAGCTTCTTTCTTCAACATGTCCTGGCACGTGGGGCCAACAACAGGGGAGGCGAGGAGGATGGGGGGCATGGGGAGATGGAGGGAGGGTGGGGAGAGAGAATGAGTGTCAGTGACGGAGTGGTTACGGCATCCTCCGCTTCTCTGAGCTTATGCACTGAGGCACATTTCCCTTGAAAATCCAGTGTCTCTGCTGAGCCATCGACAAGCGCAGAGCTGGAGCAATTCAGAGCTGCCTGACAGATTCACCTCCCCAGCTCCCAGCAGCTGCAGCGGGAACGGAGCATCCCACTCTGCCCAGCACGCCCAAGAGCCCTGCCCATGCCTGGCAGCCTGTCCCAGTCTCCAGCTGGTGTCCTAGAAGGGAGGCAATGGCCGGGGTGGCTCAAAGCTGATCCCCCCTTTCCTGACCCTTAACCCAAGCCTAGCCCACCTCAGCCTTGCATATGCCCTGTGCAGGAGGTTGGGTGAAGGCTGATTTTATTTAGCAAGCAGCATTTCAACCAGATAATTACTTAATTGATTTTGTTTAAAAATAGAATTTGCTAGAAGCGCTTTACAAGGGATTTTTTGGTTTTGTTTTGGTTTTTTTTTGTATGCTGCTTAATAAAACCTTTCTACAATTAAGAGATAATAGCACTGGGCTGGAACAATATGGCAACAGAATCACAGAATCCATTTGGTTGGAAGAGACCTCTGGGATCATCGAGTCCAACCTTTGCCCTAACACCCCCATGTCAACTAGACCATGGCACTAAGTGCCATGACCAGCCTTTTCTTAAACACCTCCAGGGATGGTGACTCCACCACCTCCCTGGGCAGCCCATTCCAATGCCTAACGACCCTTTCTGTGAAGAAATGCCTCCTCATTTCTAGCCTGAACTTCCCCTGGCGCAGTTTCAGACTATGCCCTCTTGTTCTGTCACTGGTTGCCTGGGAGAAGAGACCGACCCCCAACTTGCTATACCCTCCTTTCAAGTCACTGTAGAGAGCGATCAGGTCTCCCCTCAGCCTCCTCTTCTCCAGACCAAACCCCCCCAGCTCCCTCAGCCGCTCCCCATCAGACTTGTGCTCCAGGCCCTTCACCACCTTCGTTGCCCTTCTCTGGACTTGCTCCAGCACCTCAAGGTCTTTCTTGAAGCGTGGGGCATAACAGCTTCCATTGCCACGCGGCAGTGCCCTGGTCACCCTGCCCCACGCACGGGCACTCCTGCGAAGCCTTTGGCACCTGGTTGGAAGCCACAGACCTTCCTTAGGGCGGGCACTGGTACTGCCTGGATGTCACCCTTGGGTACCCAAGGGGACTCAGGTGGGACAGTTTCCAGGGCTCCATCCAGATGGAGGGACAGGGGAGGACCATGACATGTCCCCCCCAGCACTGACCCAACACCTTGAATGTGTCCAAGGGCATCTGTCCTGTGGGTGTCCCCAGGCCAGAGGGCTGCTCTCACCCACAGAGCCCAAATCAGGGGAGAGGAGCCCTATAGCCCCTGGCTATCTCATGCCCCACGGCCCCAGGGATGACTGAAGAGGGTGAATCAGAGGAAGGCAGGGCAGGACTTACTGGGTCTGTCTCGCCGACTGTCACCTGCTCTGAAAATCGGACCTTCGCCGGGTTGGACCTTAGCTTCGCCTTCTTGGCTGCACTGATGAAAGCAGATTTGGGAGACTGGAAAGAGAGCACTGGGTAAATCACCTGCTGGCCCTCAGAGCCGTGGCATGGGGAAAACCAGACATGGGGCCCAGAGAAAGCCTCTCTGAAGCCAGCATGACAACGGGGATCGGGCAGCAAACCATGAAATGGGGGAGTGGAAAGTAAGTCCCCTTTGCTGTGGTTATACAGTGCTGCAGGCAGGGCCAGAACGATCAGCAGCATCCCCTGAAGTCACACCAGCACCCTCAGCGTGATGGGGAGGCTGTACTCCCAGTGGGCACACGTGCCCAGCACCATCTGTGCAGGCTGAGCCAGGGCTTGCTCAGAGGCACCGGCACTGGTTCAGCTGGGAGAGATGAACCCCTCGGATGTGGGTCTGCAGCCAAGGGGAGGAGCTGGGTGGCTGGGAGATGGGAGGTGGCAGGATGCCACCGACATCAAAGGGCTAAGTAAAACAGAAATGATGCCCTGCCACCAACACCGCTGGCATGACGGTTCAATCTGCTCCAGTGCCATGGGAGCCAAGCCCCGGTGCACCATCACCGCCTGGTGCCAGCACCACTGCCAGCCGCACTGCTCAGGGTCTACAGCCTGGCACTCCCACCTCCCCAGGGACTCCTTGGCTGAGCCTGCTGGGAATGGCAACGGCATGTCCCTCCCTGTGGCCTCTGGCATGATGGGTCACTTCATCAGACATGCCTGATGCCCTCAGCAAACCATATGGGTTTGGGGATATTTTTCCTTTCTCCCTCCTGTGAGGAGGCAGTGACGAGGACGGGGAGATGGCCACGTGCCCACACTGACCCTGTGAGGCTGCGGCAGCTCTCAGACCCGACAGCTTCGAAGAGCCTTGCGTTGGTGGGACACCAGTCCAACACCTCAGCTAAGCTGCCTGAGTGGTCCCCCAGGGCCTCCAGGGACCCCACCTCAGTCTCCCAAAGGGCTCTTAACCCCTGTCCTGGCTCCCCTGGGGCTAGCCATGGCCCTGCTGGTCTCACCTGGTGGGTGTGCAGGACCGTGAGGATGATGAAGTCCTTGGCCTTCCTGTGACAGAAAGGAGAAATGAAGGTTGATGGGACCTCATGGTGGTGGACCTCAACATGTGCATCTGGCTACTGGGACAGCACATCCCACCCTTCCCAACCCAGTGGTGGCTGGGACCTTCATGGGCTCCTTGGGGTGCTTGGTAATACAGCTGTGGGTGCTCACCTATGGGCTGTGCATTGACACCCCAAAACTCCGGCTGGGGCACAGCAGCCTGGCACAAGCCCCCTCCTTGGAGGCAATGAAGGATGAGTGTTGTTCTCACCTGACAAGCTCGATGAATCTCTCTCTGGGGGCTTCACTCACGTCCTCATCATTGATAGCCAAGATCTGGTCTCCTGGCAGGAGTTTATCCTCAGAGGGGCCGCCTGCCGGGAGAGAAGGGGGGGGTGGGTCCAGCCCAGGCATCCCAGGGCTGCAGGGTTGGGGGAAAGCAGGAGGGTCCCAAGCACCCCCAAAGCATTTGCCCATGTACATGGCTGTGGAGGGCACCCCACAGGCCCACCAGAGGGGACAGGAGAGGACAGGAGCCCAGGGAGGGGTCCCACCAGGGAAATGTGCTGCTGTGCTTCCTGGCACCCTGTGGCCGTGCCCAGGGATCCCTCCACCGCACACCCTACCTGCTGCCACCGAGCGCACCACCACCGGCCTCTCGCTGCCGGCCACAAAGCCGAATCCGTAGCGGGGGTGGCGCTGGACCGTCACCTGTCGGA